TGGTTGTGGCCACACAGAGTAGAGGTAAATTGTTTTATTTGGAGGACCATTAGACAACTGTAGCACAACTGCAGTGTGAACTGTTTTAAAAGACAGTGGGTTTGGTTTGAAGTGTGTAACTAATGAGGCTATTTGTAATAGAACGTTAAGGAAATACTTCAAAAAGTACCTGAAGGTGAAGAATACGCAGACTTTCTGGTAAGTTAAGGGGAACAGATTCCAGTGCGTTATGTCCTAAGTAGAGGTAGGCCAAATTTGTCAGCTTCTAACAGAAAGAAAGGGAGATTATTAATGCTGATATTACTTACTTGAGGTTAAGTAACTTGTGCCTGTTACAAGACATCAGTATTTTTTTTTCTGATCACATAGAAAGCCTGTCAAGTGATCTAACATGAAACATTCTTTTGCTGTGAATGTTGATTTCTGTTGTATCAAGAAACTCGTAGACAGGCCTATGTTTTGGAAATTTCAGTGTCGGCTTATTGGTTATAAAACTTGAGGCCGCTATAAAGCTATATCCTTGTTTATTAGTATTTATGTGGTCCTCAGAACTGTATTTGAGCCATCAATTTTTGAATTGAGTTTTTCTTTGCGTGTAAGAGAGAAAGGAATTGGGTAAGATATTTTGTAGAAATTTTTTTTTTATATGAACGACATGAGAGAATGCGTGCACAAAGGTCTATTATTCCAAAGTGCCTTAAAAAGAAAACAAAAGCTGGAAAGCGTCTTCATTGTAGTTTGTTTCTTAGATTACAAAAATATAGAAAAATTCATTTGGTGGTATACTGGATAGTCTGGTTACTAATTTTATTTGCTTTGGTTACCTAAATTATTGTCTCTTACTTACCTTGAAAGCATTTGCTTTGATTCCTCTGCTCTTGATTCTATTCTGGTTTGCATTAAATGTTGTTAATTTGGGAGGTAGAACAGGAAGTTTTAGAAGTCGATTTTCAGCAAGAGAAAGTTCTTCCAATAGCAGAAGCTTTGAAAAGGCTCCATCTTCTATTTCTTCTATCCTATTTCCACTAAAATCAATTCTTCTCAAGGTAGCTTTACACAAAAGAGATGAAAATCTAAATATTGAATTTATAATTACATGGCATGTGAAACGTGTATGGTTGTATATGTTAAATGTTACACTGTTGGCTGCACCATCCTGAGTGTGATCTGCAAATGTAAATACTACTAAAATATGGATAAAAATCCACATTTGGCTTTCCTCATGGTCTTAAATTTAAAAAAAAAAAAAAAAAAGGAAAATACTTTGGATCCTTCCTTTTTTTTTTTTTTTTTAGAGACAGCATGATTTCAGATATTCATAGAACTTGTTGTGTTGTAGAGTGAGATAGCTGGGAGAGATGTCCCTGGAGCATTTGAAGGGAAAATAATACCTGGTCATTTAAGACTGGCTGGGATGCAGAGTTAAATTTTATTTTTAGCAAACTGCTCTTTCTCTGATTGTGTGGGAATACTAAGATGGATACATGGGCCAAAATGGGTTTCCATATTGCCTTCACAGTTCCTGTTCTAATACAAACATTCAATTAAAAAGTAATACACATAATGAAATCTAGCAAAGTATAAAATGTATCTTATTTTGGTAATCTTGGCATACTATTAAGGGACAACAACTTCAAATATACTATCAGGTAAATGGAAATTAAAGTTTGAACATTACTTACTAATGTCAGCAAAATCTGAGACTGCTATCCTTTTTATTTTGTTAAATCGTGCATAAAGATACGCTGTTTCCTTTGGCAGTGGGGGTACAGCTTCGATGTCTATTTCCTCGCAGTACACTGATCCGCTTAAACACACACAGAGCAGACAAGTAGGTAAATCTGAAAGCAAATTATTTTGAGTAGACAGTTAGAAGTTATTCAACTAACTTAAGCTTGAATATTCAAAATAGAATTTTCTCTAGTATCTTTTAAGATTTCCCATCATTGGATTTTTTTAAAAATTCTATTCACATCAAGTTCTGAAAATATTTAATATTCTGAACTTTTTTGTTTTGTATTCTTTTTATTGTGCATAATTTCCCAGTGTATATTTTCTGTTCTTATCTGGGCATGTCTTGAAATGCTATTAATTGATCTTAATTCATTTTCACTCTTTAATTGACTTAGAGTATTGTGAAGTTGACAACTGCAACTCTGTGGCCATGTTAGATGTCATGTTTAGAACCATTCTTTTGAAAAGAGAAATCCACGCAGGAGAAACATCTGGCAATGCACGCATTTGACACTGTACTTGCATTGGAACATTTCTGGCAGGGTTGCGTATACTCTGTGTTACTCCTAGCTACTATTTTGTCTAATCCTTTTTATAAAAACACCAGCAATTATGATTGTATAATTACTTCAGGCAATCTGTTCCCGTTTTTTAACAGGGGTTTTTTCATAGCTGTTATTTTAAGTAGTGAGAGAAACTCTGTATCTTTTTTAAATGCAGTTTGAGCCTATTATGGCTTTTCCTGTTCCTCATGGACATTAGTTAGAGTATTAGTAATTTCTGCTTTGCATTAATCCCGTATGACAGCAATATTAAAATACATCTAACGAATATGGCTTTCAGTCCAGTTTCGTCACCACTGCTATCTGATCTACTGTGTTTTCTGTATTGAGATTTTTGGTTAGCTTCCAACTTGGTCTGTCTGTAGTACAGAGAGTAGTGTCATACTGCTAGGTAGTTTGTTATCGCTACGTAGCAAAATAGGATCTTCCGCAAGCAGTAAAGAGTTATAGAAGTAGCCAGTCAATACTGGGAAACCAACCCAGTAAGTATAACAGAAATAAAAATTTTTTTTTTTTTTCTTACAGAAGTACTGCAGAGAATGGAATTGAGATTTTGAGCTTTAGCTTTGTGAATATTACCATTTGTTAGACTTCAGAGTTCTGCCCCATTTGCCTTTTTTGATTTAGTGTCTTGTTTGTCATCTGCTAGAGTGTAGGAAATGGAAAATGATTGTGAAACAATGTTGTCGCTATTTAAAAGGCAACAGTTTTTATGCTTGTCTTTGACTAGGAGCTTCTGGTGTTCTAGATCTGTTCCGCTTTTGATGGGGGCTTGTTGACAGATGCTATTTGGCAACAACTAACCTTGATTAAAACTTTGGTGGAGATTGACACTCCAGTGGTCTTGCTGAATCATCAGTTATTTTTGGCAGTTTAGATCACAGATACACCCGAAATGTGTGTCTTTTTTTCAGTGCTCTGTTTGGCAGACACATTGTTCCTTTCACATTTAGAAATCATTGTGGTTAGGAGAAATCTGGACAATACACCTCAGAGCCTGTAGGAAACTTAGGCTAGTGAAGAATGTTCCTGATGTATTTTAACCATTGACCTCCCTGATCATCAGATGTGAGATCATCAACTGTGAGAATAGCCAGTTCTTCGAAGAAATCTGTTTGAGTAATTTAAGCACATTATATTTCATCATTACGTGGTTAAACTGTGGAACTTATTGGGGTGTGTATTTTGTTTTTTATTGGTTGTCTTGTCTAACTTATTTAACTTGGGTGCATCTCTACAGCAAATGCGACTGGGTTAGTCTGTAGAGATTCTTATAAGCTGTGCTTTGTGTATTCGGAGTTTACCTGAGGATCCTTTAAACTTTTTCTGCCTTCTCCATCAGAAGTTAGAAGACTTTCCACAGGAGATATGAAAGATATTTGTAAATGAAAAGATAAATTCTATATCCCTTGTCATCCTTTGTATATTAAATTTTCATATTAAAATATGTTCTTTTGGAGAGCTTAAATGTTACAGTATTCGTATCAATTAACTTACTTGTATCCTTTGTTGGTGGTACATCGCGTTCGCTGTCATCCCCTTGCAGTCTTAAGGAAGTGTCGAGAGAAACATTTGTTCCATCCTTTGTGTTGAGAGCAAACGTTATTTTAAAAAACAAACAGCAAACAAAAACCCAGAGTATTACAAGGATCTGAAATAGCAGGACTTTAAAAAATGAGCTTCCTACAACATACCTCCTTATGACATTTAATTTTTAAAATATTCTTATATGCTGGATGACTAATGTGATATATTATCCCTTTTGTAGATGAGCTCTTCACTTTGAAAGGCAAGAAGGAAAGATGGTGCTGCTAGTGTTCTTCAGAAAACTAAAGTTCTTTAGGAAAGAACAGTAGACACAAAATAAAAATAGAGAGAAAGTATAGACTATATGGTGGGAAGGAATATGTAAGCAATGGGTGTCTACAAAAACCTGGAGTTCTGAAGATAGATTTTGCACATCATGCAAAATTTGGTAGAATTCTTGTGAATGTTAGTTGTATTTTTTTGTTTTACCCAAATAATCTCAGTAAAATAACATTTCCTTGTGTTTAAACTTATTCAGAATTCCCTGTTGAGGTAGTCATTGCATCTTTTCAATTGCAGGACAACTTAGTTTATAAACATGTTTCTTTCAAGTACTGGCTGAAATTTAGCAATTCATTTCCATTAACTGCACTTAAGTCTGTTTAATACCTGGGCTGCTAACAGAAAGGGCCTTTTGTGATGCGGGAAATGGTAGTCAGGTTTTCACTGAATACCATAGGAATTTTACAGAATTACATGCTATTTCTAGAATTATGGTATGCATACAGTGGGTTATACTATGACTTGCATGTATTAAGGGGATTTTTAGGTTGACTGTGGCAATTGTGCTTGGCTAGCATCATTCGTTGTCTTTTTTGATGGGGAATAGTTGTAGGACAGAGTAAGACAATAGGCTTTTTGGTCTGCGTTGCTATTGAAAACACATGGGGAAAAGTATATTGTCAGGTGCAGAAGATGTTTTTCTTTAAATGTGCTTAAGGATCAGGCCCTGGCAGGAGTACGATCCCTTGTTGAAGAGAGCTTCTTGTGCACTGTGAGTGCTCACAAGTGAACCAATTTTTTTAAATTATTTTTTTAAATTCTTCCCCATTCAGGCATGTAGATAGTTTATCTACTAGAGCAATGTGAAAGTTACTTTTGATACTAACTTTGTTTTATTTAGTATTTGTTGCTTGCATATATTTTACTGTGGGGAATTCTTGTATTCTGCAAAATAAAACCCTCAAGCTTGACATAAAGCCTGAGAAACAAATATCTTGGCCAGCCTCTGTCATTTTGACCCTTTTTTAGCCTGTGAATCATCCATCCCTTGACTCTTCCCTGCATCTGTCTATTCAGGCTATGGCTCTTTTTTGCCTGTTGTTTTTGTGTAAAGTTTGGGATAGGTTGGTTTGTTCTAGTAAGGCTTTTATACCCAAGTTAGAATGCTAGCAACAGTTTAGCAGTTGTAGTGTGAAACTTCTGTGTAGGGTAAGAGCTTTTGCAGTGTTGGGTGTAGAGAAGCTGGGGGGTGTGAGCTGAACAGTTAGACTCAAACAAGCAGCAAATCTTAACAGAAGGTTTCTGCAAAAATGTTTAGCTTGCATAGATATGTTGATTAGGCATGTGAAGACATGGTCCTTAACTGAGGTATCCATGCCAATAGACACTTCTGCATAGATGGACTTATAATAGAACAACTGCACTTCTATTGTTGTAGTGTGTTTGGCTCATAAAGGACTTTCTTAATATGCTTGTATGAAGAACATGTTTGCTGACATAGCATATCTGTACCAGGTGTAGATTTCTAGTACAGTATCCTACTGGAGGTGTGATCTATGAAAAGGTATGCATGTGAGTTCTTTGCAGAATACAGTGTACAACTAATTTCTGCAGGTGGGAAATGTCAGCAAAAAATAAAATGAATTATTTGCAGAATACTGTTAAATCCACAACATCAAACAACAGATTCCACCACCCCCCCCCCAAAAAAAAAAAAAAAAAAAAGTAGTATAAATAACCAATATATTAGAAGTATTTCCTGGTCAGCTATAAAAATTCCTAGCGTGGAATATCAGTGCAGAAGATTGTTTGGATTATAACCACAGAAAGTTCATTACCTGCCTATGTAGGGAATGCACTGAAGGAATATTGGCCTACTTACATACTTAAATTCCACCTGCCTCTTGCACTTTACTCCACAGACATGAATTGCTCATACAAAACCACAATAACATTCATCTTTATAACACACAAAGGTCTATAAAGCTGATAGCTTATATTCAATGGAATGAATTAGTCCGGATATGAGACGGTGTCGAACTGGATGGTTCTGTTCTGTTGTGGAAATTAAGATTTCATCTTTTTAAACTTCTAATATTTTTATTCGAGATGGGTAGCTGTGGTTTCAAATAATAATCATTGTAATAATTTTTGCTTGGCTGACCTTTTCCTTAGTAGTAGACTAAGGTTCACTTCATTTGGTTGATCACTAACACAAATAGATTTCTTCTGATGTTTTCACTAAAATTCTTTTTTCTAACTGTGTGTTGAAGCACACAGTAAGGAGTTAAATTTGTCATGCAAGATAGATTTCTGACTGGGCATGTTTGAGGAAGTTGTTGGCATGTATTTCGGTTATGGCTAACACTCGAAATATTCTGGGAGCTAGAATTTGTGCAAGAAATGAATAGAAGATTTGTTTGCACATCCCATGATTTAAATTGGGAACACTGGAACTTGTATAGATGTATTTGTTGCACATAAGGAACTAATTTATTATTTTGCAATGAAAACATGTAATTGGAGAACTGACCTGATGGAAATAATGACCGACTGCATTCCTAGAATTATCCTAAGCAGAACTGTTGGCCTTCAGAAGACCTCTAGTTTATAGCACTGCCAGTACGGACTTTGATTAGTCTGTGGCACATCTGTTGGCACCATTTCCTTGTAGGTATACTCCTTGTTGTTCTTTTTACTGAAACAGTAGCGTATTCTTATTAGAACGATTTTAGTAATGAATGTCATCTGATACTGTGCCTAACTAGTTAAAGTTAACATTTTTAGTATTTTTTTAAAAACTTAGTTGTGAGTGGATAGCCACCTATTAGTTAAGAGTCATTTAAATGGTCTCTTTTTCATAGGTTTATGAAACATGTTACTTCATCACTGTGGCAGATGTCAGATTTAAAAATACCTTAGACTTTTTTTTTAATATAAATATGTAGCTGCTGTTTTTAGTCTAACAGTGGAAAGTTATAATTTAAGTAGAATTGAGAAAATATTAAAAAGGTATACAGAAGTGGTTTTTCTATATATGTGCTGCAATTTTTTACTTACATTAATTATCTTTTGCTGTCATCTTTTTTCTTGTTTATCAGACTAAGTTATTGTAACAAGTACAGTTACTATTAATGAAAACTTCCTTGAATTTATTAATACTTGGTTGTTACCGCTTTGTTTGGATATGTGGTATTTTCCTTGGCAACTAGTCTTGGGGCATTCATTGTTAATTTTTCTTCCGTCTGCCTGATCAATGTTGTATCTCATTCTCTTGATGAGAGAGAGGTCCTGTCCGAGGCAGTCTGAGCAGAGGTATGAGGTTTTTAACTGTCCCTGTCAGCTGAGGCTGTTGCACTTCATTTAACTCTCTTCTGGTTTTGTGTCCTCTGCTTAAGTGTTTAAATTAAAAGGCACGTATGTGGCACATAGCAAAAAAAGTTCGGAATTGACCGTTTGGGGGTGCTGGCGAGTGTCATGAGGTATATAGTCTTTATTGCTACCTTTAAGACTCTCAAAGTGTTAATAATGTAGGTGACTACCGCAGGACTGGACGTTCCATAGTAGTTCAGGACTGCTAAACTGTTGAGTTGCAAAAAAACCAAACCACCCACCCCTGAAAAACCAAGGCAAAAAACTTGATAGCTTGGTAAGTCAAAAGAGAAACTGTGGTTTATGCTGGCAGGTTATGTCCAATAAAAAGTACTGTTTCAAGTATTACTTTGGTATAAAAAAAAAATCCTAAATAAAATCACCCTCCTTGTTTTTAAACAAACTTACTGTGTTAATACAATGTTACTCAAACTGTTGTGCTAGTATATCCCATTCTTGAAACTCTTACAACAGTAGGCACATAACTACAGCAGAGTTAAAAATGATGCTTTAGTCTTACTTGTGAAAGCCTGTCTTTTATGGGTTTCTCAAACTGTAGCAAGGGTAGTATTTTTGTGGTTTTAATTTGTGGCTTTCCCTATGTCTGAAACCATTGTATGTTTTGCTATTATTTCCAGACTTTTCCATAAAACTTGCATACATGTTTACATGTAACATGCAAACATGCATACAAACTTGCATACATAACAATGCTTAGCAGTTAAAAATATTAAACTGATAATATAAATAAAATACCTTTCTTATATCCTTGGATTGCATTTCATAATCTTGTTGGATCAGGCTTCCCATGGTAACATCTGTATCATACTCATAAAACTGGAGTGATTCTTGCTGTATAGGTGGTGCTGAATTTGCCAAAGGTACAAACACAAACAAAAAAAAAGTAGTCTGCAAAGTCTTCATTCTTGCACGGAACAATGTATCTGGCTTTCACTGAGCTGGTGGAGATCTGCTCGTGTGTTGACTATGGAGAATACTTTCTTTGTGACTGGAAATGAAAATGCAATCCGTCAAAACAATATTTAAAGCCTAGAGGACTAGTTGGCAGGGGTTTCTAACGCATAAGGAACGTGGAAAAACTTTTAACTCTTGATATCCTTTAATTAGACTCTAGCATTATAAAACCTGTTCTTAATGTGAAAGGAAACTGGGAAATAATAAGCAACATTTTCCAACTAATAAGGAAAATATTATCTTAATTGCATTTGCTTGTTTCCTAGCATGTTATTTTTGTTAATAGCAAGAGGATTTTGTAAAGCATTTTATGAAACATTTGGCATGTATGTAGCTGAACTAATTAAAACGAGAGAGGTTCAAATGCATTTTTCTCAGTTGTCAAAATAATGATTTTCAGACCTAAATGCTCTATAACAATAATCTCTCATTGTCTTTGTCTTTACATTTGAAAGTAAACAGGAGAAGATAATTTAACACCCCCTGAATTTTTACAGGTTGTACACTTCTCCAGGCAGGGGGAGGAGGCTACAAACATAATCTTTAGAACATTTTAAATACGCAATAATTTTTAAAACAAATCTTTACACAGCATTTTTTCCTGTTTGCTGTAATTGTGTTTTATTTAAGCTTTAGGTTAATATACTTTTAGGAAAAAAAGTCCACCTACCGTTTTAGCAGATTCAAAGTTCTTCTGTGATTGTCATAAAACCAGATATCCTTATCTATATGTTGACCTAAAGTGGATTAATAAAAGAGTAAAGTTATGAAATACAAATTGTTGAAATGAATACTCTTTCAAAGTTTGACAGTCTTAAAAGTGCTTTCCATGGGGTAAAAAATGCTTTGCCAGCATTCTTTCCCTGGGGTAAGAGGTAATATCCTGGAGCAGGAGGGTTGTACTTTGAATAACGTTTGTAAATGTGAAGTCTGTCTAGCTCATCCTTCTTTTGATGTTACTTGTTAAAATGGTAGCGTTCTGCTTTGTGGTGATTTACTCTTTATAATTGCTAAGGCTTTTTCTGTAAATCAAATATTAATTGTGCAAACTAGAGGTTTATAACAAGGCATGTGTTATCCATTTTGTTTAACGGTTTAGCTAAGAGACAAAGCAGCTGCTTTCTGACTGAGACAGAGGTAGAGCCAAAACATACGTATACCATATTAGTCACATTTTATGAGTAATAAAATGTTTCATTATGAGTTGTATATGTTTAGAGAAGTTTCACCTAAGTATGAAATGGAAACGTTTCAGTATGAAGAGTTCTGGAAACAAAAAATACTTTTAGAATTGTGTGTGTTGAGATTTTCAGACAAGTAATTCATGTTTAAGTGCTTCGTTGAATGGTTTGTTAGGCAATTTATTGAAAAATTGGTTTCACAATAAATACTTGTTTTGAGCAAAGTTCTGTGTCAGTTCTATAGATAGCTAAGTAAACACTGTCCAGGTATAGAATTTTCATCTGAACTACAAGCAGCACTTTTCTGGATTTCTAATGCATTTCTTCCTCCCCCATACTTTTCCTTATTATGTATTTTTGGCAGTCAGTACAAATGGGAGCCAGATGACCAACTTTAAAGTTTACAAAGTAGCTTTTTTGAGTCTTTAAAAAGTATGTAGCGATAAAATCTATTGGGAATATATTCAGATTTACATTTCTCTTTCATTTTCATTACTTTTTTTAGATAGCACTGTCAGCTAGAGTAATGTTGGGGATAAACAGTGGACCTATTTGGTTAAGTTTTCTTGTAAGTGCTGCCTTGTTTAGAAACCAGATGTCTGTAGTAAATTGGCAAATTGTAGAGTGGCTACAGCCATTTGCTGTCTAAACTTTTTTCCAGTTTATAATCAGCTACCACTTTCTGAACTCATCAGGCTTTTATAAAAATGTTTTTCGTTTAGCTCATGCAATTAAACAATGTCATAGTTTGGACTTGGAGCTTCCTCTAGGATAATGATTTTGCTGTTAAGTATATACCTGAAATGTAAAGGGAAGAGGCTCAGTAATAATGGAACTTGGACTCTGAATCACACTGGTTGCTATTCTGCTGCAATAATAAGAACAACAAAAGTTTTGAAGTGGCTAGGTTGTTAAGGTGTTTTCTGCTGCAGTACGTAGGAACTTTCAGTCAGAAGTAGTGTGTGTGATAGAAGGGGTGGATTTGCTGAGGAAGGGACAGAAAAGTTGCAGTGTCAATACCATCTTACCATCCCTCATGGTTTCGTGCATGTTTCAGAAATAATGACAGCAGCCTTGCTTTGTACTTACCTCTTTCCAGCTGCCATATCCCCCCCCCGCCAAACATCCATGTTAAGATTTCATCTGGCTCTGGGACATCCAAGTTTTTCCAATGCTTGAATGTAATCAAAGAAAAAATGTTCTCAGGGAAAAGTATTAAGTATTGAAGCTGAAAGCTTGATACAAAATATTAAATGTATTTGTTATATTCTTATGAGAATTTATTTTTTAAGTACTGAAATCCTAGATTTATGTACATCTTGGGAATAGCTTAGCATTTTCATGACAGTTTTTAAAAATGAGGGAAAATTACTAGGTAAATGAGGTCTTGAAAATTTAGGAAGTCTTCATGCAAGAAAGCTCTTACTTGCTTTGATCTGCAAGAGAAGAGACTCTGTAATGTTCGAAGACTTTAGTAACAGCTTCTGCAGAAAACATTGTCAAAAGTCTGTGTTCATCAGGGTCACAAGATTTCAGTGGTATGCTTACCACAAAAACATTGTGTAATGTGTGTACTCACTGGTGTTCTCCAAGCACTTATAAGAAAGTCATGAACACTTACAAATACATTGAAGAGTGATATGTTAAGTAATTACTTTGGCGTGATGTCATCAAGGTTTACCTTACAGTATAGTTTTACTGTCACTTTAAACTCTCGGTGCCAAATAAAGTAGTAGTCCTGTCCCGTGTTTCGTCTGCTTGTCATCCCTTGTACTAGGAGGAAAAAAAGTAGTAACAAATAATTTCAACCCCCCCCTATTTTTATCTGAACACCTAACAGATGCTCATATCGGCACAAGGAAGGGGATGGCACAGGTAGCTGCAAACAAGGAGGGATAGTATTGCTTCTTTTGGCAACAGTGCTACTTTATTCTTGTTCAAAATGACTTGAAACAACCACAATATCCAAATCATCTGAAATGAAAAGTGTGGTTCATATGCATTGGCAATAGGGAAGCTAACAGGAAGTATTCACCTGGCAAGCAGAGTGCTTTCTAGGCATTGTTAGTGCTTAGAAGTTTGATATATAGGTACCCGTTTCTTGTACTTAGAAGGTGGTTTCTTTTCTGAAAACCTAAACAAGCTCTGTTGTTAACTAATTGAGCTCCAGATTTTGAAGAGGGCCTTGATAATGTGTTTATGGTATGCTTTCTGATTTGTCAGGTGTGCCTTTTTTTTAACCCACGATATCTCGTTTTCACTGACTGACTTTGCCCACAAGATACTTTCACCTGAAATGTTAGGCATTTTAAATGGTTAGTTTACTAATTGTGTTGAAGTGGAATCTTGGATTAAATTTGAACGTTGGTAA